ACAATCAGCGCGGGCGCGCGGATAGACCGCGCGGGCGCGCACATCGCGCGGCCATCCCGTGCGTGCGCGGCTGGCAGCCCAAATTCAGGAATTAGACCCGAATGGACCCGAGGGTTTCTGAAACCCTCGTAATGCGTGCCGACGAACCCGAAAAAGTTTTGAACTCCAAGGAAGGTGAAATCCAACCTAAAGACAAAGAATGAAACCGAAGAATAAAGAACTCGAGAATCGAAGTCCCGTTGATGTAACGGAAGAATATAATTATTGTAATTATTTATTTATTCGATTCGATTGAGTTGTAATTTATTTTTCCATGGGACCTGGTCAAATTCATCTCAATAGTTGATTGTATATATTTATATTATGTTGATAATTATATATTATATGTCCATCCATATAAGATGCCATATAAATATAATATGCCTACTCATATATTTTATAACATGCCATGCATATACACGTGCACCCACTTCTTGTGTGCGTAAATGGATCTCGACCATGTCAGCCAGCCGTTACTTGGACTCTGCCCTGATCCCAATATGTTTGGGCCAAGTCATTTTGAGGGTCTCGTTGGTGCCACGTTGGCCACAATTCACGGAGTTTGTTTGTACGATGTTGTCAAGGCTCCGAGTGCCTTGATTTAACCTTGATGCGCGCGCTGCCTTCCAACCACACGCCAATGCTCCTTGCTGCATGCCTGCACATGTGCGCGTTGATTGATTGCGCACTGGGCTGTCCACAGCCGTGATGTGCTGTGCCATGCTTTCCACCGCGACACAACACCCGATTGGCCCGCGCCTTAGCCAATCTAAGAGGGTCTAACACCAGTCTCTCTTTTAAAGAGAGAATGGATTCAGAGACTTTTTAGCTCATTATAAATTAGTTTGAAGACTAATTTATTGCATGGTTAAAAGGTTGGGACTGCTGGAGCAATTTTTTTTTTTTTTTTTTTTAGGGGACCATTGGAGTTAGTAACGGAAAAAAATGAAACGCGGAAAATCTTTAATGGAATGAATTTGTCATCTAGAACTCTTGAAAATTCCACGTTATGACCAAAGCCCCTAGTCCCTGTCCTTAACATCGTTTGGATCGTTGAAAGATGCCACGTCATCAACTGCCCCAAGTCAATAGCGAAAACTGCTTCCTTTTCTGCCCGGCACGTAACAAATTGTCAAAAAAAAAAAAAAAAAAGGCTGAAAACCGATCGTCAAGACTCAAATGTTTACATTCATCGCTTCGCGCCCAAGTCAAATAATAATAAAAATAAAATAAAATAAAAGAGGAAAAGAAAAAAGACACGTACAGATAATTGGGTTGATTTTGATGGTCGAGTAAAAAGCGAATTTCCTTGTTGATCATCACAAGCGCAACACAAGCGAAAGGCTCCCCTAAGTTCGTACCGAAACTTGTAGAAGTTTGGATTCGCACTCACTGCAAGAACTCGTCTGAATCCAGGTCAGTATTTTCCCCATTTTGTTTTCCTTGTCGATCATTTCGACAGTTTCTTTTTTAATTATTAATTTATTTTGTCCTTTGAAGAAAAATAAATAAATTTCGCGATCGTCGCTGTTTTTTTTTTTTATTTCTCTTTTTGTTGCTGTGTGATTAATTGATTGCAATGATTTTTTTTTTTTAGAATTGTGCATATAACGAATGATTTTCTTAGGGAAAAATCTTTTTCTGGAAAGGAATAAATAACTAAATAAATAAAAGAAGAAAATTTTTTTCCTCTCCTTTTTTATTTGTAATTCTATCGCTTAGATACTTTTTCGAGGACCGAGAGCAGGGAAGGAATTGCATTAAATTATATACCTTTTCGAGGAATTGCAATTTTATTTTATTTTTTTTTTCAAGATTAAACGTTTAACATCTGTAACTAAGACGGTTTTTATTTTTTATTTTTTATTTTTTTTCAGTCTCCTATTCTTTACTAAATATATTTTCTCTTGATGCATATGTGCATTTCCCCGACATATTGTTGTTTCATGATTATACATGCTGGATCTCAAGTCTTACCAAATTTCCTACAGGGACAGAATTATACAGTTGAGTTTTGGTCATTGATTGCCTTGAATTCTTTTATTCTTTTTTGTGGCCTAGTTAGCATGGCGACGTTGTCCTTAGAAAAGCCGCACGAGAGTGCAACCGAGAAATGTTTGTCTCCTGAAGAGAAACAGGCGAAGGTATATTTGAGCCCTCTTTGTTTTTACTTCTGTAAATTGTAGTAGAATGTCATTGACGTAATCTTTTTTTAGCTTAGACGAACTGTATTCCATGAGTTGTGTAACAAACACGAGCTTCATGTCAATTAAGTGCCCTTCATGTGATCCATTGTCTTTATCCATATACTACTCGACATAAGTGTAATGGGGAAGAAAGGTTTCTGTTTCTGAATTTTTATATCTTATGATAATACAAGCATAATTTTCTGCTTTTGTTGGCTATTGCACCGAGTAACGAATGTAATCTCAGTGTGCATAATTTAATGCGAAACTATGCAGCTACAGTTATTGAGAACCATAGCAAAGGTCGGACATGATTTTATCATTCTGCTTATAAGTTGTTAGGTACTCAACTAAGGAATAGGAGTGTCTTTGAAAGGTTTAGACTGCTGGAACGAGAATTTATGGTGTAGTCTGACTAAGGCTAGAAAAGTTGGTCTATGAAGAAGTTAGTTGTAGAACATTAGACGTCCAAGTAATACAGGACCTATGATTGTTGACAATTTTTGCATATTTACATTTTAGCAAGTAGAAACCATAGCACATGTTCTATTAAGGTACTTTGCAATTTTCTTTAGAAGGAATTTCTTTTTTTTTATTTTTTTATTTTTTATTTTTTTTCTCCCTGCTGCAGCTTTAGAACCAAAATCTAATTTGAAAATTCAAGCATATTTTCCTGTTTTTCATATCACATGCTAGAAAGAGATTGGTTGAAGGCTTCAAGCTTGTTTCTAAGGTTTCTGATTATGTTGCATTAGATATAACTACCAAGGCTTGCTTTTAATGTTTCTGATTATGATTGATTAGACCTGAGTTTTCTGCAGATCAATGAAGTCAGAAGAATGATCGGTTCTATCACAGATAAGCTTCCAGACCTCTTTTCTGATGCATCAATATCAAGGTACCTCAGAGCAAGGAACTGGAATACAAAGAAGGCAGGCCAGATGTTGATACAAACCTTGAAATGGAGGCTGGACTACAGGCCAGATAAGATCCGATGGGTAATCAATTTATTTTAAACTTTAGTACAATCTCCAAATAGACTCATTTTTTCGTCTTGAACTCATTGTTTGTCGAACACGCTATTATAGACTATTGATTTCTAAACCCACTCTTTTGGATGTAGTAACGTGGTTATGAAAGAAAGATCTGTTTTAGAAACTAAGGACATGTTTTCTTGCCATGCTTCAGACAGGGAAAAGGTGGAATGTTTCCCTTCCAATCCTATTCATGTGTTTACTTACCAAATGAGGAAAGTTAAGTTGGTGGTGCTCATATGATGTATGAAATGAGAAAAGGGAAAGCTAATCCCAAGTAACCCCATGGTGTTGTTTCCCTTTCCATGGGAATAAACCACACAAATTCACATTTATAGACTAGTAATTTTAACTAAAAATGATATGCACAAGGACATTTAGTACTCAAGCTATTAGGATTCCTGAGTTAGTGAACACTGTAAATGGATTACATTCTTTAACGGGTAAAGAAACACTAGAAAGAGAATCAATTATGCCATTCCTTATTCCTTTACCTTTTCTTATCACAATCCACTACAATTCAGTAAACATACTCTAAATGTTCATGCATACAAATATGTATGAAAAGAAAGGGCTACTGTTACATACTTGCGTGAATCCAAAGATTTTTTATTCAAAGTACCGTGTCAATACTTTATGATTTGTACTGTTTAAGAATTATTGGACAAGGTAAAATGTTTTGCCTTTTGATTTTACATTCATTCGTTGTGCTTCTGAAATCTGAATGTTTTCAAGTTGTCCTTGGACTTAGGGCCTGTTTCCCAGAGCTTTTGCTTTTGCTTTTAGTTAGTAGAAGAAGAGAAGTAAAAGCTATAGCCTTTCAGTAAGTTTTGGAATAAAAGAGTTTAATGAGTCAAAATAATTTTTAAATTTTGTAATAGGCAATAAAAGTGTTGGAATGAAGTTTATAGTGTCCTAATGAAACTCTAGTCCAAGTTTTAAAGTCTATTTAGAAGTTCCTTTTTTAGAAGCTATATTTTGTGGCTTTGACTGGAGGCTCTAAGCTGAAGCGCTTCTGAGGGATCACCAAATACTTCCATAAGCAGTTTTAGGAGCCAGGAAGCCAAAAGCAGTTTTTAAGAAGCTCTCCCAAATAGGATCTAGTAGAACTCTGACAGGACTCCAACCTCAAACACAGTCAGAGAACAAGAAGGAAACTTTATTAATGAAAGAAATAACCCCTAAAATACAATTAGTAGTAATCGAGGAACTTTATTAATGAAAGAAATAACCCCTAAAATACAATTTAGTAGTAATCGAGGAACTACTCAATCAGTGTTCTGCACCCTTCTCCCACAATAGTTTAAAATCTGTGATTCTGCCAAATGATTATCATCATTTTTAACCTTTAGTACATAATTTATATGCCCAAATAGAACTGATTCCAATTGCTTTAATGGAGTTTCACTAGTAACCATTGATTTTTTCTTGTGGGAATAGATATCTTTCTTATAAATTCCACATTCTTCTATTTCCATGTATTATTTTCCTTTTGTTCTTCTTAGAATCTTCTTCGTATATAGCTGCTTGTCTGAGCATTTATAGTTCAATTGCACACTATGGCAGAAAGTTTTGGCAGAAGCGGGGGTTGAGCTGGTTTTCCCAACCCATTGCAAGTCTTTAATGGTGTAAAATATGGTGGGCTTTGGATCCAACAAGAAGGCTAAGATCTTATGGAAAAACATTGTACTGTCAACGCTATGGTCGATTTGGAAGGAGACAAATAACAGAATTTTTGAAGAGCCTTGGAGTTGATTGATATTTATGGTGTTAGTTTACCAATCCAACTCAAAAACTAAAGCTATTAGGAAGTGGAGTAACAATAGTTTTTATATTTTTATACTCCGCTTCATGTGTGGGCTTGACGATAGATAATCGTGTGGGTAAATTAATTGGAAAGTAATTACATGGGTAAATTAATTAGAAAGCCCAACATGTGAATATTAGATAATACGCTTTGAAACATATTAAAGACCTAACTCATAGTGACAATTTAAAGGGGGATAAAGAGTGCAATTACAGAGGTTTGAACTTAAAAATCTCTTTTTGTGATATCATGATAGCTTACCAATTCATTTGAAAATTTTAAGTTATTAGTAAGTGAGTCAATAATAGTTTTTATATTTAACATATGGGAAATATTCAACTACTTTATGGGCGGCAACAGACAAAGCTTTCAAAGACTTCCAATTTCCTACGATACACTTAAATTGGAAAGATGTAATCAGCCAATAGGTTCTTTGGTGGATGGTTTTGGGGTGGCCTGATGGGGAAGACTCCCCAAAGTTTCTTGTTCATGTTTTTGGTTTCTGACTGTCTTTTTTTTTTTTTTTTTTTGTCATAGTTCATTATAATTGATTTTCTTTAGAAGATAACATGTCCTCTTTTGGTTTTCCTTTTTAATTGATTCATAAATTAATAAAAGGAGTCTTTCTCTTTTTTTTAAAAAAGAAAAAAAAGAGAAGACGAAGAAGAAGTGCTGTTCTTGTAAGTGTGTTTCTTGAGAGGAAAACTCTCCCTCTGATTGTATTTTTTTTTTCTCTTTATAATAAAGTTTTGTTTCTTCTCAAAAAAAAAAAAAAAAAAAGTTGTAAGTGTGTTTGACTTGTTCTCTATGAAACTTGATGTAAGAGCTAAGAAGGAGAATAAGATGATTAGCTTATTGCAATTGCTGGATACATATGTTTTTGAAATTCACTTCTTATTGTTGTTGTAGTTTTTTTTCCTGTGTTTCAGTGATTTGACGTTTATGCAGTTAAAAGTGGCCTTTTATTCATTGTTTTTATTTTCTGTGTTGAACTGATTTGATGTTTATGCAGTTAAAAATGGCCTTTTTAATTTAAGAGTGTGTTTAATTAATGTATTTTTATCATAATTTTTATCATAATTTATAATTTATTATAATATTTTTTTACATAAAAAATATATATAAATTAAAAATAATTTTAAATTATAATTTTAAATTTATGAATCAAATATCTATTTAAATTCTTTATCTATTTTGTCTGTTCATTTCTCTGTCTGTCCATCAATATTTTGACACATTAACTCATTAAATAGGAGCCACTAACAGAATAAAAATTAAGGGGCTTCCGTTGCAAACATTTTCCCGAAACTACTCCCAAAAAACTCTCTCTACCATTTTCATATCTCTACCTTCTCGGAACATTGAGATCCATTCTCTCTCATCTTTCTTACTCCGGATAAAACATTTCTCTCATATCTTTCTCAGCCAAAAAAAAAAGAAAAAGAACCTTACTCATCTGGGGGGGGGGGGAAGCCCTCTCATGCTCTTGAAAAGAAAAGGGAGAATAAACAAAATGTTGAAATAAGGAGATTGATGAATTCCATTAAAAAAAAAGAGAGAGATTAATGAACTAAAGAACAAGTCGTGGAGTTTCTTGAGGACCTGAGATTATAGAGGAAAGGACAGTTTTTTTTGGTGCGTTAACAAAGATGATTTCTTGACGACCCGATGTTAAGGAGTACTGTTTATATGAGGGATTTGAAAAGAAAATTGTAGAACAGTAACATTGGTCAGTGAAGGTGATGGGGTCTGACTTTGTGGTGGTTGATAAATTGGGTCTCTGGGGATTTATGTCGTTTCGCGATTTCTTTTGAGGAAAAGTTTTGTGGTTATTTGGGTGCGGAATATATCTGAGGTTTCAAAAATGGTTTTGTTTTACATTTGAGTTTTTAATTTTAATTTTATTATAGTTAAAAATTTTTATAAAAAATTTAATTTAATTTTTTTTATTATAATTAAAAATTTTTATATAAAATTATATTTCAATTTAAATTGAAAATTTAAATTAACGAATTGAATGAGACTTAAGAGTGTGGAAGAGAGTTTTTCAGAAACGAATGGAAAAGAACCCATTAATTATTCCGCTGGTGGATTTTTTTACTAAGCTAATGTATCAAAATATCACTTGATGGACAGAGTGGGAAGAGAAAATAGACAGAGGATCTGGGTTCAGCCTTTTTATATTCTAGCCCAGACATGATTGCATAGTTCATAGTTGACAATTTTATTTATTTATTTATTTATTTTCAGGAAGAGATTGCTTATGAAGCTGAAACAGGAAAAATCTACAGAGCTGACTACTTTGACAAGTATGGACGGGTAGTCCTTGTCCTGAGACCTGGTTTTCAGGTAATTGTTATATTTATTTTTGCGTTTGTCTGCACGAGCAGGACTGCTATGCCAAAGATTTTGCTCTTTCTTTTCATGCTCTTACCTCTACTGCTTCATTGTTATTTTATCTCTTTGTGACAGAATACAAAAGCAGTAAGTGGGCAAATTAGATATCTGGTTTATTGCATGGAAAATGCCATGAAGAATCTAAGTTCAGACCAGGAACAGATTGTCTTGTTAGTTGATTTTCGTGGGTGGAACTCATCTAGCACATCAATAAAAGCGACTAGGGAAACCGTATATATCGTGCAGAACCACTACCCTGAGAGATTGGGCCTTGGAATCCTCTACAATCCACCAAAAATATTTGAGTCCTTCTGGAAGGTATGCTAATCATTATGTCACTTTCATTTGAGCTTGCTCGAATATTATTGCCCGCATTGGATATCTTTAATGATGTGAATGTAGTGCTGGAATGAATGAATGTCAGAATTTTTAAGAATATACTTTCTTGTCCCTAAGTGGGTAATTGATACTATTTGGAAAATGCATCGCATCCAAAGGAAGAAAAGTGTAGATAGGGAGTTGGGATCATTAACAAGATAAGAAACTGGAAAGGAAAATTTTCAAAATCCTCCCCCATGTTCATCACATGAAATGTGATATTCGAAAGTATCCTTTGCAAATTCCTCCACCTTGTTATCTTTGATCGACTTAAATTTACGCTTACTTTAACACAACTATCTCTAACATTATAATTTGATGGCAACACTCATATCTAATTTTGAACGAATCTCACACCACGGTTGAAATTTTTAAGGGGCAATTTTCTTTATCAAAAATTATGATTCCTTAACTGCAGATGGTGAAACCATTTATTGAGTTCATGACATTCAAGAAAGTGAGGTTTGTTTACTCCAACAATCCACAAAGCGAGAAGATAATGGAAGAGCTTTTTGATAAAGATAAGTTGGAATCTGCATTTGGTGGGAGAAACTCAAATGGTTTCGACTATGAAGCCTATGCACAGAGAATGAAGGAAGATGACCAGAAAATGACCAACGGTTGCTCCTCACCATCATTTAACTCATCTGTTATCTCCGACTCACAGCAGTCAGAGTTATTATCATTCAACCAAGGTCCTGACGATGAGCACTTTGATGAAGGCGGATCTTCATCCAGCAACGAAACATCTTCTTCAAACTTAGGAACCCTTGATAATAATAAGATACCGGACCAGCCACGTGAGGGCAATGATGTGTTAAGGAGCAACATAGTAGCAGCCTAAGGAGAGATGAGGATTAAGTCTTCTAGGTGCAATGGTACACTTCGATCAATTTATTTTACGCCAACTTTCTGGATTGTGGTCCAGAAAATGGTTAGAAATCTATTAGTTTTAATTCAACAGCTGATTTACATATTAAAACAAATAAAATAACATGTATTTTTTTCTTGTAATATGTCAAATACTATGTAGGATTGAATACCTACATGGAGGAGGAAGTTGCGGTTGTCTTGTCTAGGATATTTACTCAATTGTGAAAAATATTGTTGCCTGAATTGGTCGAGGTGGCATTTAGAAATTTGGTCACTACATATGTAAACTAATTTATAACCTTTAAAAATAATGAGGAACCAAAAATGATAACAACGTAGTAATCTCTCTATTGCTCTCCCCCTTGAACATCATTCGAACTCGTTGGCGGAATTGGTCATTGTTGGGCGTTGAGCTACCTTATATCCTGTGGTCATTTGGATCAGTTTTACTATTTCTTTCACTTTGATATCGAATGAAAATCCCTCTTTTCGGGGGGAAAAAAAAGATCTCAATGCAAAATATTTGATAGGTTTGCAGATGTATTGGTTTGCAACAATAGAGTTCTTCGAACTTCATAGATATGGAGTGGAAATGGGGGAGAGAGTTTTATTGTGGTCTATGAGTGAAAAAACAAAGAGGAGCACGATTTCACTTATTTTTGAGTTTTTAACACAATTGCTCTTGAAATTATAGACGTTTAGTAAATTGGCTTCTAAACTTTTTAATTTTAGTTAGCTACCTCCTCAACTTACTTAGTTCTTGCAATTAGCCCCACGTCACAAACGGCTGTTGAAAAGCTAACGAAAATGGAAATGTGCAAGTCGCCTGTGTGGTTTTAAAGGGCATAATTGGAATTGCAATAGGCTAAAAAAACACCCCAGAACCGAATAATATTTCCAATATACTCAAAAAAAAAAAAATTCCTTCTTTTAGCTATGAACTAGTGGATTACCCGTGCATTCGCATGGGTATGTAATAATTTAATTAACAGTAATTTAAATAAATAAAACGTATAAAAACACATATATTGTTTAGTAAAAAGGAAAAATTACAAAATTAATCATTATTTACATTGTATCTATTTTAATAATTACATGAGATATATATTTTTCATCAATATATACTAAAAAGATTATATTTACAATTTTGAATTGAACAGAGAGGATAAAAATATATAAATAGAATAATAATAAATAAATAAATAAAACAGAATTTAATAAATTCTGAAAAAATCGATAGAAGAGTGCAATGTCCTTATTATATGTTAAATCACAATATCTTCATCTGAACATGTATAATAGAGTACATTCCTTAATAATACAAAGAAACCAATATACCCAAATCTATAAATATATAGTTTTGTTATCTGATATTGATACGAACAATCTTTTTTTTTTTTAACATTGTATAAAAACGGTATACATTATGTATAAACAATTTACAATCAACAACATCCACCATAACAAAATACAAATTTCAACAAACTGAATAATAAACACCAGAGTAAATATAGTGAACAAAAATCTCAGGAAACAAATCGGTTAAAGGATGAAATAATTCAGAGTGGAATAAAAAAGATAAAACACCTGCAACTAAGAAGCAAAAAGATTGGTTACTGTTTAAAAAACATAAACACCTTAAACCAAGTAATATAAAGATAAATCTTCAATAATCCGGGGAAGAGCAACACTTGCTAAATTACTATAAATAAGTGTTCAATACATGGCAATAATTCTCGGGCATTAATATATCAAAAGTAACTAAAATATGATTCAATAATATCATTAGCTACCAATTGAATTATTGAAAGACTTGCACTAAATAACAAGAAAAAAAAGTATTAATAACTATAATAATGAACAAAAACCTTAGAAAGAAAATCTCTTAAAGAATGAAATGGTTCAAATTGGAATAAGAAAAATAAAACATCTGCAAGTAAGAAGCAAAAAGACAAAGACATCAAAACATATAAAAAGAATGGTTCAGGTATTCATCTTTTTTTTGCTACCAACATGTATCAAAAGTAACTGAAATATAATTTAACATTGTCATTGGCTGCCAGTTGAATTATTGAAATAGTTATATTAAATAACAGATAAAAAAATTTAAAATAATTGTAAATGAAAAAAAAAAAAAAAAAAAACCTGAGTAAAAATTTAATAACTAAAGAAGAAAAAAAAAAGTGTAACCAATTTTAAAAAATTTGAGAAAACCAAAAAGAAAACTTAAATTTTACTTGGACAGGAAAAATGAATACATTGAATCAAATAACAAAAAAAATAATAAAAAATGGAGGACAAAAGGAAAAAAAAAAGAAAATAAGAAACTTCGGAAGTTAAATCATAGTTAAATGATTATAACTTCCTACCAAATAACAAACACCAGAGTAAAATAGTGAACAAAATGTTAGCATTTATGTCCTTAGGAATAAATGTAACAATATTCTTTGAGATATTTTGACTATTAATAAGATTTGTTTATTTCATATATCTATGTATTGTCATCTTTATGTTCATAATAGTTGAATGTATGATAAGCAAACTAAAAGTCTGAGACTGTCATTCTAAATCTTTAGGTCATGCATGTAATGTGAAGAACATGCGGAAGACAAGAATCTAAAGATGATAGTCTAAATCTTATGATCCACAATCGAGCGAATAAAGTTGGGCGCTTTATTGATGTTAAGATTGTTATGTTGTCTACTTCCTAACGGAGACGGCTTGTCTTGGTCGTCGGAGGTGGGACTCCATGGGTGGAGACATTGATATAGTTTCTAATGGTGAAATCTATATTGGATAGGACCAAAGTTGAATTGTTTTAATTAATAATTCTGTTTAAATAAAACAATTCACTTTTGACGAATTATATGTTGTCATCTTAATCCTGAGATGGATGATGAACCCGTATACTTGACTTGTATCCTTTGATGTACTAAAAGGAGACATCCTGACATTATGTAAAGGTACGCTTACCAGTACATTGGGGGTATGACTCGTGTATGCATAAATTTGTTATTCATAGATAGTGGAATCAATAGCTCCTATAAAGAGTCAATGATATCCTCTTATGCATTATCAGTGGATTAAAAAATACAAGCGCTCGGCCATTAGACTACACTGTGTTATCTAATGGTTTACTGTTTGTAATTATACGAATAGTATTTTTCCAATGGTAATGATAATGGAACATAAGATAAATATAATCGGGAAGGTAAAACGGAACTTGACCTCAAGTCGATTATGGATATCCTATGGGGATGATACACTAATATATTGAGTCATGGACTAGAGCTAATCAGAGCTTTGTAAATACGCTATATAAATCGAGAGTGCAGCTCTAGGCTTTTA